CTAAATTGACTAGCCCGGATCTGCGGACGTTACACCATTGAAAAGTTCATTGAATCTCAAAGAATCTGTAACAGCCCGGATTCCCAAGTATTATTCATTCTTATATTTTGGTATTTTGTGAGGAGACTCGGCGAGTTGGAGCTCAAACTCGCCGAGTAGGATCACGATTTTGGACGTGGATTCGCGTATGGACTCGGTGAGTCCATGCTGTTTAATGAAACCCTAATTCCCCGGGTTTGGAGCCTATTTAAGGGAACTTATAGCCTCCCATTGCGGCTACCAGTCCCTTGAGAGAACCCTAAGAGAGCTAATTCGTTTTGGGAGAGAGTAAGTCACTTTTGGGCCTTTGTATTCCTTGTTTAGCAAGAGGAAGGTGGCAAGAGCAAGGAGGAGGTGAGATTCGAGCAGATTTAGAGTCCAGAGGCTTCATTTTGAGGTAATGGTTCGTATCTCCTTCAGTTTTAGGGTTGATCTTTAGAGTTAGGGGTTTATAACCCCCTTTGGAGAGTGATTATGTGAAGCAAATGGTCCCTCTTCGAGTTTGTGCCTTGGATCTGGACTCAAAGAGGTCCAGAGACCTTAACCCTTGGAGCTTTTGGGATATTATGGAGTCATTGGACCTAGGTGGTTATTTTTGGGACCAAACCTCCTTTTGATGCCTTATGCGGGGGGGGGGGGGGTATACAAGCATCAAGTTTCGAACTTTACGTGACATTCATGCTTGGGAAGGCCAGATCTATGGTTTGGGAAAGCAGATCTGACCTCAGAAGGTCAATAGAGTTTGTGTATGGCATGAACTCGCCGAGTTGTTCTTGAGACTTAGCGAGTAGGGTTGGTGTTTCACGTAAGGTGTTCAGTGAGTAGACTCATCGGGTTGGGGGATGACCCAGTGAGTCAGGGAGAGTCAATATGGGGTTGAGTCAAGCCGGAACTCACCGAGTTGTTCTTGAGACTCGGTGAGTTGAGTCGTGGTTGCCCCGCGATTCATGCCAGGTGGAACTCGTCGAGTTAGGGGAGTGCTCGACGTGCCAAGAAAGGATCTGAGGGAGTCAGTGAACGCGTATAGACTCGCCGAGTCGCTTTGGTGCACTCGCCGAGTCCGATCAAAGTTGACCGTTGACCATAGTTGACCAATGTTGACTTGATAGGGTTAGTCAACCTTAGTTGTAAAAGTGTTAATTATAGATATATTGTATTATAGGAAGATTATAGTTCGGGTGATCGAGCACGAGTGATTCCAAGGATTTGCGAGTTATCGAGATACACGAGGTGAGTCTTCTTACTATACTTTACCTTGAGTAGGTAACCAGAGTTATGAGATACAATCTTTGTATGCTATATATATGTGTTATGTGTTGCACTGCATTATTCTATGTGATTTATGCTGTACATGTTTACAGAACCTGAGGGTTTACAGAGTTAGATACTGAGGGTTCACAGAGTTTGGGTGCACGGACCAACAGAGTTATAGCATCGAGTGGCTAATATGTGTTATATGTGGTATTCTGGGGAACTCACTAAGCTTTGTACTCACAGTATTTGGTGTTATTTGTTTCAGGTACTAGTGACGACCGTGGGAAGGCGCCGACTTGATCAGTACACACACACACACAGGATTTTATGTTATGAGATCTTGGGATTTTTGTATAACATGAATTGAATTTCAAACATGGGTGTTTTTACGAATATTAAATGAATTATGTTTTTATAAAATGAGAAAAATTGTTTTGAAATTTACGGTGTTACAGAATCTAGGAATTTCAATTCGTTTAAACCTTAATAATGTATTTCGTTTTTCATGGTGGAAATTGGTAAATTGTCATTTACCTACCTTCAAATATTTTACAATTGGATTACGGTATCCCACTTCCGAATTGTAGAATATTGTGTTGGGTCCTAGCCTTAATATTTCATTTAGGTTTATATTAAGGATTCTCATCTAATCTAAACTTTGTTCATTTTCCTTTTCAGATCTCTATCCCAAACAATGCTTCAGGCTCCAACCCTTATAGCTTATTCTCCCCCATGAACTTGGTTGGGAGAACTATCTTCGATTGGTAAAACTTTAACGATTGGATTCGAAACATTCGTATGGCCCTTCGCTACGAGGACAATTAATATGTTCTGAATAAAGAGCTGAAGGAGATCAATGAACAAATTGCTACTCCCGAGCAAATCGAGGAATACAAGGTTTATGAGAGGGACGCGACAATGGTGTCGTGCATTATGATTACTACCATGACTGTTGAGCTTCAAAAGTCCTACGAGGACTTCTGGCCCTTTGAGATGCACCAAGATTTGATGGAAAGGTACCATCAAAGTGCTTGGCAGGAGAGGTATGAGATCATTGCCTCCATGATCATAACTAAAATGAAGGATGGAGAGTTCATCATGGCCCACTTGTAAAAGATGCAGAGATATGTGGACCGCTTGCTGAAAATGAATGTCAATTTTGATGAAGAGTTAGCCATAGATATAATTATAAACTCTTTGCCTTCTTGTTATGATCAGTTTCGTATGACCTATCATATGAACAAGGAGGAGGTCACTCTTAGCAAGCTTCTTGGCCTTCTAAGAACTGCAAAAAGCAACTGGAAAGGCAAGTCGGTTATATCCACTTATACTACTACTGCCCCTATTCTGGAGATTGGACATGGGAAGGGAAAGAAGAGGAAGGTTCTTTCCAAGAGCCACAAGGGAAAGTCTCATGATGGATCCTCTTCTAGTGGAATCAAAGGTGGTTCTGCTAAACCCTCTACCAATCCAAAGGACGCAGAGTGCTTCTATTGTCATGAAAAAGGGCACGGGAAACGAATTTGCCTTAAATACTTGCAGGACATTAAGGATGGGAAGATAAACCCCACATTCACAGGTATTTACACTATTCTCTTTAATAACTCATCACATGCAAATTCTTGGGTCCTTGATACAGGTTGTGGATTTCACATTTGTTCTGATTTGCAGGGACTAAAAGGAAGTAGGGGTGTGGAGCACAGGAAGATAAACTTAATCATGAGAAATAGGAAAGTGCCACCTGTCACCAAGATTGGAGTTTATTCTTTATTGCTTGGTAGTGGGTTAAATTTAGAGTTGAATAATTGTTGTTACTCGTGGGATATGGCGATAAATATTATTTCTTTTCATGGTTTGTGTAACCAAGGTTTTAGATTTTCATTTAATAATGAAATTGGTTCTATTAATGCTTTCTTTAATGGTGTATTTTATTTTAAAGCATTGCCTTGTTATGTTATATATGAAACTGTGATGGTTGTAGATAACCTAGGAAATAATGTGTTGAATATTGTTTCATCGAATGTTTTAGACAAGGCATGTTTGTGGCATTGTCGTCTTGGACATGTCAACAAGAAGCGCATAGCACAACTCCAAAAGGATGGAGTCTTGGAGTCATTCGACTCGAAGTCGGATGAAATTTGTGAATCTTGTTTGTTTAGAAAGATGATCAAGGCACCCTTCACTGGAACTTGTGAAAGGGGTGAAGGTCTATTGGATCTCATACACATCGATGTGTGTGGACCCTTCAGATCCACCACAAGGGATACTAACCGCTTCTATGTGACTTTTACTGATGATTACAACAGATATGGCTATATCTACTTAATCAAGCATAAGTCAGAAACCTTTGAAAACTTCAAAGAGTTTAAGCAAGAAGTGGAGAATCAATTGGGCAGGAAGATAAAGATACTCCGATCTGATTTAGGTGGTGATTATCTTAGTATCGAGTTCCACGACTATCTTAAGGAATGTGGAATTTTTTCATAATTGATGCCACCTAGGACACCACAACTTATGTAACAACCCGTTATTCTCAAGTCAATGAAAGTCAAAAACTACGTTTCGATTCTTATGTGTGTGTCTATATATATATATATATATATATATATATATATATATATATATATATATATATATATATATATATATATATATATATTATCTCAAGAGCATAATTATAAGCTAATAGCTAAATATAACTTAAGTCTTAAGTGAGTTATGGTAATATAACTTAATATAAAGGGGATAGTCTAAGGTATAAAGCATAAAAACAACCCCAAAAAAGGGTTCATGGTCAAGGAGTAAACTCCAAAAGGGAGTTTACGGCCAAGACCACTCCAAAATGGAGTTCACGGTCCAAAAGCATATCAAAAATGGAGTTCACAGTCCAAAGTAAAAAGGGACATTTAGTTTTCGGCCAAACTAAAGTGAATACAAGGGGTTCATAGCCAAGCATGACCGTGAACACCCCTTATGTGATGAAAACCCCATTCTATGTCCATTTGTGGACCGTAAACACCAAGGCCCAATGCCACTTGAACCGTAAACACCCCCTATATATACGTTTTCACCCGTGAATCAATTCATTTCCCCACTTTTCACCCGTGAACCACTCCAAAATACACTCAATTCCCATCTGTGATTAACCCCACTTTCTATCAATCTTCAAGAGTGTATGCTCAAAATCTTCAAAACTTCAACCAATTCCTCAAAAACATTCAAATAAATCTTCAAATCTTCATACTTCCCCAAGAACACACCGTGAACCCATCTATCCAACCGTAAACCCCTATTTTGCAACCAAAAATCAATTTGCAACATTCCAAATAATTCCAATTAATTTTGTAAGTATCCCTTACATAATCAATTTATTATTTAACTCATTATTTATAATCATATTAATTTTAGGTTCCTTATGCACAGTAACTTAACCCTATTGGACCACCATTATTTTTTTTATTATTTTATTTCTTTGTTGGGTTTATTTTGGTCAGGCACAGAGTGTTATGCTACGTGTTCTGCTCCCACCTATGTTTTCTGCTCCCACTTCCTATTCCTTGCAATAAAATATACACATGCTACAAAAGCAATAGATCAATCACCGACTCTACCTCCACCGACTCAATATCCATCCATCCAAATAACTCTCTCTTCTTCTATACTCTCTGCTTTGTCAACCTTCATTCATCTTCTACTATCTCTTTTACATGGAATCCACTGAATACCCACCAGAGTATACACGTCTGTTCCATAAACCCTCGATTTTTCGTAGTTGGTAGTAAATCAATCCCTTCAACTCCTTCGTAATACCTATGCTAAAAAACATGGATTTCAGAGGAACAACAATCGACTGGGGAGACTGAGAGAAAGTCTGTACTTTATGAAATTAAACCTCTGAAACTCCAAAGTCATCAAACCCATTCAGTGGTATTTTTACCCTAATTTTTTAATTTGATTTTGAAGCTTCAATTGTTATTCCATTCTATCGATTGTTACTTCTTTTTTTTTTTTTTTGATTTCTTAGGTTTCAAAGTTCGATGGTGAACAATATTATGATGATGGAAGTGGATACTGGAAAATCTTGGCCTTTAGATGTTTCTACCCCTGCAAAAGAAGAAAGGAAACATTCAAAAAAAACGAAGTCAGTTAATACAGAAAGTATGTTGCTTTTTTCTCAAATATATTTTATAAATCAATTATTTGATTTTATAGCTTTGATTTCTTGGAATGAGAGTAGAAGACAATGGATTGGGTATCAATCTCAAAGATCACCAGCAGAAAGAATGCCAAAAGCAACTGTCAAAAGGTTTAATTTGCATTCCAATTTGATTTGTTGCCTACTTTTGCTACAATGTTCACTTGGTATTCGTTTCCTGGAATTGGTTAAATACCAACCAATAGCAGCAAAACTCTCGTTGCTTCTTTTTCTTGAAATTGGTTCCTTTAATTCTAGTTTTCTGGAATTCAAAGAGCTTAAAGATGATAATGAATTACTGGATGCCCAAGGTCTATATAATAATATCATCAGAATACCGACAAAAAAAGTAAATTATGCTACTTCTGTACAAGAGAAGATACCAATTCATTGTAAGAAGTTCTAACCTATTGATCTATCTCACCATTCGTATATCCCTTCTTTTACATACTTTTCCTTAAATGAAATACAACTATGGATATGTTCTTTTACTGGTAAAGCCTACAAGTTAGTTAAACGGGGTAATTTGGGTGTATGATGTGGAACTCTATAACCTTTTCTGATCCTATATGTCATTAGTAAAGTACATCAACAATGATACATTTAGTTGACTATAGGTTGAAAATTTGGATAAAGGAGTAATTTTTTGTACTCTATCTAATTGAAGTGGGGATTTAATGGTTTTGCACAAGCCATAGAGTTCCTGTTGCTTTCCGAAGACCTGTAGTTCTTGGTTCTTATAAAATGTACTCATGTCTTACTTTTAATGTTTGGGAACCTGTTTTGTATCATTTTTATGTTGCAAGTCCAAGGAACATTTAATTTTGTTATACAGGAGGTTTTGGAATCGATTCCGGTAAGTTTTCCAAGTAATTGAAAATTTTTCATAACCAGAACAGTTAAAGTTGGAAAATTTTAACAGTGATAAAATTTTATGAGATTTCAGATTTCTTATATGGCTTAATGCTGAAGTGAAGCTATCTGATGATGCATCTAAAATTCTGATATTAAAATTCCGACTTAGAAAATCTGATATTGGTATGCAAGTATATATTTTGGTTTATCGTGGTGTTTCAGGTTTCTTTGTGATTGTTTTTATTTGGATGGATCGCAGATGCTCCTGTGTTGACTTTTTTTGCCCTTGTGATGACGGTTGCCTTTGTGGTTTTCTTATATGTTTACAGTTGCTCATGTGCTCTTGATTCAACAGACGAGATCTACACATTTTTTGCACGGAATGAATTTTACAAGTGGAGAATTCAGTATTGTATGAATTTTTAGCGTTGGAGAAATTGATAGTTGCACGAGATGTTGGTCTTTGTCTTAGATGATGATGTGATTTAATTGCATTGTGGAAAGTTGAACTGAATGTGAAGATGGATGGGGCTGTTGAGACCTGATGTATAATCTCTTTCAGTTTAGCAATGTACATTTTTTTATAGTATACTACAACACTTTGATTATTTTTTCTTATTAACACATTTTCCTGTGAAAATCCTATCCAATTAGTGGACTGTATTTGAAATTATTTCTTAGTATTAATTTAAATACGACATCGAATATAATTATTTTTAGGATACCATTATTTCGCACGTACGCTAGCCCGAGGATCGTCTCTACCACTTCGCTATCTTAGACTCGAACACGCAACAAACGTGAGTTCATACCCCTACATTTTTTAAGTTTTTTTTTTTTTTTTCTTTTTGTGTGTGTGTGGGGGGGGGGGGGGGGGGGGATACAAGTAAAACACAACGACTTTGTGTTTATTCAAAAAAAAATTAATAGTTTAAAAACATTTGCAATTGTTTCAAACCGAGCAATCGTTATACTTCCTAAAAATATTTTATATATTTTTAACCCTTTTGTAATATGTCGAGCATAAGGGAATTCGCTTTCATACAGTTAAATTGCAAATGTTTTCATTTCACTACGGAACATTAAATTTTAGCTATAAACGGTATAGTTTGAGATTCTCTACACTATTTTGCTAAGTGCAATACACAAAACAAGAACGTACAATCAAAACTATAATAGGTATAGTTTGGGAAACACTACACCAATACATTGATACAAGTGTACACTAGTAAAATTATTATTTAAGTATAATTATGTTACACTACAAGGTACATTATTATAAGACAAAACATATAGTTTCTAATACAAGAGAACACTACAATACTACACGTAAACTAGTTAATACAGGATTGTGAGGCACTACTTCACTAGTATCCACCAAGTTACGGAACTAAATCATATACAATATAACTAGAATCTCCTGGAGGGAGAGCGTGAGATTTGTGTATAGATCTATACGGGACTGACTATCCCACACATGAACTGCTATCTACTGTTAAGCCGGCAGGCCTGGGGTGACAAATTCCATAACTTTCAAATGCCTAAAGAACGTCTTAGAGGACACTAGGTCATATCAAGCATGGTTATATGAAACACACAACAATATAACTAAAACATTTGTTTACGAGATTACACTACTTCAATGCTTTTATTTTAATTAATAAAACTATAGTACACTACTTACACTAAACGTGGTAATAACCAGGCATCCATACTAAAGTTTTATACAAATGCTATTATAGTACACTACTTTCACTACGACTGGTAATATCCAGGTATACATACAAAGGTTTTCATACAAATACATATACAGTACACTGTTATCTAATATTGAGTACACTAATACAGTATACATTTTCAAGGAACATACATGACTACATTACATTCACTATAGAAAATATTGGATTTTCTAGAGAAACATACTAACATTTTCAAGGTTCAAAAACAAGTTTTCCATCATTAAAATATACTTATGAACTCACCAACTTAAATGTTGATACACTTTCAAAATCACTTGTATTCTCAGGGAACCGATAAGACAGGTACACCCGCAAGATTTTGAGAAGACGAAGCTTTATAGAGTCGCGTCTTTTATACTTTGTTATACATTTTGGATGTCATACAAACTATATATTGAACAAATGTAAATACTTTACCTTATCCATGTAATGGTTGCGTTTTCTTTAGTGCCTATTATACAATTGTTGTGATACTGTACATGACGTCCTTCACCCCCCGAACGTTTCCGACGTTCCGGTTTGGGGGGTGTGACAGATTAATGGTGTGGCTGAGAGGCGCAATCGAAACTTGTCGGACATGGTTCATTCCATGATGAGTTAAGCTTCATTAGCTATCTCATTCTGTGTGTATGCCTTAGAGACTACCGCCCATATCCTTAATTTAGTCTCAACTAAGAAGGTTACCAAAACACCTGACGAGATGTAGACAGGGAAGGTTCCCTCATTAGCACACATCAAGGTTTGGGTTTGCGAGGCTTTCATAAAATGAGAGACTCACGACAAACTTGAACCTTGTAGTGAGTGATGTATTTTCATCGGCTACTGCATAAGTCCTTTGGGTATCTCTTCTATATACCGAGTGACAATGTTGTCTTCGTTGCGAGAAGAGGAGTCTTTCGCGAGAGAGAACTCATATTTCATGAGGACAGTGGGAGACAAATTGACCTTGAAGATCTTCAATAATTAAGTGAAGAAGGAGCCTCAAACGTTAGTGCTCAACCCGAGGAGGAAAATCATGTTGAACCAATTGACGATTCAGTACCTCTGGGACATTCCAGTAGAGTTAGTGTTCCACCTGTGTTATATGGTTTTCATATAACAGCTGAAGGTGATACATTTATCAGTGATAATACATTGATAAATATAGATTAACCAAATAACTACAACGAAGCCATGACAGTCCCCGGGTTTGTGAAAAGGAAAGAGACTGTGGATAGAGAGATTCAGTCCATGTATGACAATCAAGTTTGGAACTTGGTTGACAATGTGCCAGATCGCAAGACAGTCGGGTGCAAATGGATCTTTAAGAAGAAGACCGACATGGATGGGAAAGTACACACATATAAGGCGCTACTGGTTGTGAGGGGCTTTACTCAAACTCATGGAGTTGACTATGATGAGACTTTCTCACTAGTAGTGAAGATTAAATCTATAAGGGTTATGTTAGCCATAGCTGCATTTTATGACGATTAACTATGGCAAATGGATGTCAAAACTTCTTTCCTTAATAGAAAGTTGGTTGAAGATGGTTACATATGTTAGCCAGAGGGTTTTGTCAATGCAAAGTACCCTAATATAGTGTGTAATCTTGAGAAATGTATATATAGATTGAAACAAGCATCTCGCATATGGAATCTTTGTTTTGATGAGAAAGTCAAAGAGTTTGGATTTTCGAGAAGCGAGGATCAGTCCTGTGAATATGTCAAAGCTAGTGGGAGTATAGTTAGCTTCGTGGTATTATATGTAGATGCATAATACTCATAGGAAACAACATCCCAACCTTGTGTTGGATTAGTGTCTAAGTCCATAACTATAATTGGTATGTACTTGACCTGACTCAGCATGGTCCATTTGGGTTGCATGGCATCGGAACATTTGGATAGACCGTTTGTGAGAAGGGGAAATTTGTAACATATTAATATATTATAAGTTCTAATATATTAATATGAATTCATGTTATTTAATTAGTATTGATCAAGAATTAATTTGGACTTAATTTAGTGATCAAAAGAGACTAATTAAATATATGGGGATTGATTGTGTAAATCATTCATTCTTATATATATGGGCTTATGATCCATGATTCCTTATGTTGGGTTTAACCCATGTGGTGACCCATGGATACTCCATGGAGATTAAAACCCATGGAGCATAAGGAATGGGTAAAGTCATGGGTTACATGGTGTAACCCTAATGTGCACACCATATAAGGACCCCTTTAGCCCAAGAAATTGGCACGAGTGATACATATATGAGGGCTAGCCGATTTGAGCATGAGTGTCTTCTTCTCATGGTTATTCAAAGTGTTGATGATGTTGTGTGAACCATTTGAGGTGCCACACTTGGGGCACTAGGCTCTCGAGCTTCATGGAGTCAAGCTACATCAACAAGGTATGTATTTTATCTATTTTATTACCCAAGTATCAAAGATTGTATCTAGTTAGGGTAATACCTTGGAATATTCATAGTTGCATGTATAATAGAGAAAACATAGATCCAAGGTATTTAGGGTTGCATGTACAACATAGGATTGTTAGAATGCTTAAAACCCAACAGTGGTATCAGAGGCTAGGCATGTTTTCTTGTTATACTTGCTTAAATTACTGAAAAAGCGAAGTCTATTGATGTCTGAATAGCAGACTTGACGAGTCCATGAAGGGAATCGACGATTCCAAGGCTAAAATCATCCAACTTTCCGAGTTGGTTCTTACACTCGACGAGTTGGACCCCCAGACAGCATATCTTCAACTGTTTTGGCTAGAATTAAACTAGGAACATTACCCTAAGCTATTTTTGGATTTGTAAACCTATTTTTGATGTGGTAATGTTCATACTAATCTAATTTCAAAGATAATTGTCAATAGATTCATGTTTTGTATTAGTTTAATGGTTAGGCTAATTTCATGAAAAAGTTTGATTTGAATTATCTTGTTCTTGTGAGTTGTTTAGATTAACAGAAAAGTTATGTGAAATTGTTGTTTTCAATCCAAATTAATCTAAGAGTTGATTCTAAAATGTGTTTTTATAACTTATCCTCAAGTTATATGAAAAGTCATATTTAAGATTCATAAAACTCACAAATATTTCCATAGGTTATGAATAAAGAAAAAATCATATTCTTTTAATGGTTTAAAGTCATCCATAACTTGTCCTCAAGTTATGGAACTTGAAGAGTTTTTTTAATTAAAAACTACTTTAAACTTATAAGTTATGGAATTGAAAAGTTTTTGACTTGTTCAAAACTTGTCCTCAAGTTTTGGAATTTGAAAAGTTTTCTTTCATGAATACTTTAATTCCAAATTAAGCTCTTAGAATTTTTAAAGTTAAAATTCAACCCTTATACTTTATAATATTATAACTTAATTATATATATATATATATATATATATATATATATATATATATGTGTGTGTGTGTGTGTGTGTGTGTATGTATGTATAAGAGTAAGTCGTCTTACCATTAGTAGGCCTCATTCACGAAGCCGGTCTATAAGAGGGTATAAGGTTACTGCCTATAAAATGGCAGTTTTATGGGTGTCCACTCTCACCCACCGCTTCCTTGACTGGTGGAGGGTAGTTACCCAAACGGGTAGGACAAGGACTATAATTCTCCCTTCATTAAAATTAATGATAAATACTATGTAACTAAACTCTTATTAATACCCAATCTTAGTAACTTAGGAAAATG